CTTCCTTCAGTCAGCCTCTTATTATTTCTTTGGGAACTTTTTTCTGAGACCACAAAAAGGAGCAGACAATGGACAGTGCCATTTCAGCTGATACCATATATGTGCTATATGAAGCATATGCAGCATATGAACGAATGGAAGACGATTCAAAGCCTCTTTCAAAAAAAATTTAATCCTGTGGCCCACAAAGTTCTTTGGAGAACCTACCCATTAGCTGGAAGAAAAATCTTTTTGCTTGAGAATGATCCTGACTAAGACAAGTCAATGGTCAAGACAGAAAAAAAACCTGGTGGCAATATTAGATGTGACTTGGTACAGTTTCGTAGAGATGTTTATTGATGGAACTCTACTTGTCATGGTTGGATCACTCAGAATAGTAGGCTTATGAGATTCTGACATGTGAAAACAGTTCTCCTTTTTCCTACACCTCATCTTGAGGACATCCTGGGTAGTGAGATATTGATTGGTTGGTTTGACTATCTTCATATTGGAATAGATCAATTCAAACTAAATTTCTATGCATTCTGTGATTCAGAGTACTCAGAGCAGGAAGAAAATTCCCTTTCATCAGCTGAGGACTGGAGCAGATGCCTGTTACAGCAAAGAGAATCCTCAGTTTGGTTCTTTGGGGATGGGGTTTATGGCGCTGGCATTGAGAGTCCTGAAAGGGAGAAGTAGTGTCCTATCCTTGGTGCTTAAACTAGGATGAAAGGGGAAACAGAAGCTATCTAAGGAGGCAAGGAGAAACCATGACTAAGAGCATGGTTTAGATTTGTGGACAATTGGCTGAAAACAATGTGAAGTGAGTAGAGATTGACTGAATGGAGCAGGAATCTTAAAGCATTTAGGAAGGAGGGAAGGGGTGCTTGAGATGATCATCTTCTGATTCAAACAAGATATTCAGGTGGTGGATCACTTGCAGCTTGAAAGGATCTGTCTCTGGAAAGGGAGTCCGTAGGGGAGCTCTGGAAAAGAAATCTTGCAGGGAGTGAGGTAGGAAAAGGAGACTGGTGTTAAGCCCTTCCTTGGAACATTGTGGGCAGTAAGAACCATTCAATGCAGTAGCTTGAAGAATCAGTCCCACACAACCCACGCTTCTTCCCACACTGACTAATTTGAGGCTTGCTGGTTTGGTGCTGCAGCAGGAGGACAAGAAAGAACAGAGCCAAGGGTAAAGAAAAATGACTGAGGAAGGGGCACTGCCAGCATGGGGAGCTGAATGCAGGAACTTGTGCCTTTTGATGCTGATGGCTGAACCCTGATCAACAGCTGAAGCATTGAAGTGGCTGAGGATTTACTGCTGAGCTAGAGGAGTCCCCAGACTTCATCAAAGTCTTCTACTGAACACTCTGTCTCTTCCAGGGGAAGGCTAAAATGGGAAGGAGATGAAGAATTTGCCAAAAGTATCTGAGGAAAAGAGCTCTCAGATAGCTACTGAGAAAACACCTGCCTCGCCATATAGAAGCAGAAGACTGCAGATCGATGTAAGTGCAGTTAACCAGGCCTGCCTGTAAAGGGCATTGGCAGGAATACTGCACTAGAAAAAAAGGAGCGCAACGTCTTGCCTGCCTCTGAGAATTTGAAACAGTGGAAAAGCTCAAGCAACAGATTCCCATGAGAAAGATAAACACTGAATTTGCTATTAGTGATGTTTCTCCACTGGTCATTTAAATAAGTACATTCTTTCTTGAAACAAGACTGTACATACGCAAAGTATTTTCACTATCTGTTGCTGTGAAATAAATATTGTTTATTTGAATCTAAAAAAGAAAACAAAAACAAGACTAATTTCTTTTCTATTCTAGTTTCTTTGGTAAACTTATGGAAAAAATTAAAGTACACACTAAAATGACTTTTCTTACCACTAATTTGAGCCCGCATCTCTTTAAGAGATTAGTGTTTTCACATTAATGTCTTATTAACAAACTTCACCTTTCCACCTAACTCCAGCAGTTGTCCAAATTTAATGCACATGTCACTTTTCTAAAGCAGTACGATACAATCCTTGTGTTTTTAGACAATGTTATATCTCAATAAAAAGTATTCTAATGTTCAAAGCTATGTATGCGCTATTACTGAGTACATAATGACAGATGTGCTCCTCTGTGTTGTTGAAGTAACAGAACCAAAGATATCACTGTAGAGTAATATAGGTTAATCTTCTTAGAAACTATATACACCTGAATTCTAGACATTGCAGAACTCTAGATTATTGTGGTAATAAATGCAGTTTGTGTTTAGCTAAGAAAAAAGTATCAAGCACTGCATGTAGAGAAAAAAATATTTATATTCAAGTTAATTTGAAACATAATATGTAGTATGAAATTCGCCACAGCCCTCCATACCACTTAAATCCCACCGGAGAGGGTTGTGTGGGAATCATGCAATCTTAAGGCTGCTCTAATTTACCCAAAAGAGCCATAAACGTAGCCAAGGATTGGCATGATATAGGAGTGTCCCCACCACATAGCCTTTCCGCCAATCATGCCCCTTTTTCCCTACACTTGACACAGTGGTGCAAGAGCCCTAATGACTGCTCCTCACCATGAGATGATCGTCATTTCAGTGGAATGATCCTCCCTGGATTGGTGAAGCTGACTTTAGGGTCAGATAGCACTGGCAGTGCAGTGCAGAACAAAACAGACTTAGAGGCTATGTCTACACTGCACACCAGTGGTGGTTGCAATGTATAGGGTATGTGTAGCTGTGTGCCACAGTGAAAAAGCTGTCCACACATCAGTGAAAAGCAATGGCAGAGGAGAAAGGGTTCAGTAGCTCCCTGCTGCCAAAGCCTTTCACTGCAACAAGGAAAGACTCTTGCAGGGGGAAGACAGTGGGGAAAGGCTCTCCCTGCTGCCTCCCATCTGCGAAAGCCTTTCACTGCTGCTGAAGTCTTTCCCTGAAGCAGGGAAAGGCTCCAGCTGCAGAAAACTGGCAGAGCCTTTCCCCATTGTCAGAGATTTTTCCTGCAGTGGGGAAAGGCTCAAGCAGCAGGGAGACAGTGGGACACTACACTGCTAAAAATAGCAGTGTATATATGGGGGCACTGCTTGGGCAAGTGAAAAGTTGTGTAGGACACATACCCACAAGCTTCAGATGTCTCTTTACTTGCCTAAGCAGTGCCTCACCACCTACACTGCTATTTATACCGATCCTAGGAGGGCTAGCCATGTATCTACAGTACACACCGCTATAACAAGTGTTCAGTGTAGATATACCCAGAGTATCTAGCCCAGCCAGTATATTGAAAGTCAGCAATTTCCTTCTGTAGGAGAAAGGACCCGCATTGGTTGAAAGGTGTCCTCCTTGGTTTTAAAACCACCAATGGATTTTCTCCAATTTCCCTTTACTCCACTCTCTGTTCTTCAGCTCCTCTAACCTTGGACCCTGTATAGACACAGTCTCAGACACTGGTTAATCAAAGAAACTGCTTCTTTGCAGTTCCTTCAGTCTGTAATTGCTATCCTGAATCCCTTTCTCTCATTTATTCTCTCTCTCATTTCAATCTCAGCTAAATACATATCTTTTCTCCTTTGTCTATCCCCCTACTGTTTAACTATGTAAACCATTTTGGGATATAGATTGTATGAAAGAGGCTATACAAAACTGTTGTCTTGCTCTATACATTATGACGTTAGTTACTACCAGGAACTGTGGGGGGTTATTCTGTTTAGTCATTTTGTAATTATTTTTGAGCTACTGGTTCATGAGTTTGTAAAAGGGAAAATGTTTTCTCTATTCTGAACATTCAAACTTTAGTTCTCAAGAACCACTCTAGGGCCTGTAATTAGATAAGACATAGGAAGTACCATATGGGAGCAGGCCAATGATCCTTCTAATCTGGTATCCACATTTGGCTAATGCCAGATGTTTTTTTAAAAAAAAACTATGCAATAAACTAACAATAAAATTGTTTAAATGAAAAATCAGTTTCTCAATCCAAATGTATCTAAAATACTTTTTTTAATCTTGCTTAAATTCACAAATGATACAATATTGAAGTGTTTTTAAACATACTGTACAATCATGTTAGTTAAATGTTTTACATCAAGGCACAGCACACCATATTTTACAGATATGCCTTGACAGGCAGCAATTTAGTGTAATCCCCGAGATTTGGCAGTATTGCCCAGATAAATAGCATGGGTCACATTTCACATATATGCTAGAAGATAAATAAATAATAGATGCTATCACGTTTTATTTGAAATAGAATTGCATATAAAAAGAATATACAATAATTTAACTTGAATAATTAGATTGTTTTGTACTATACATAACAGAAGTGCTTTCATTTGTTTTTAACAAAACATTTTTAAATATTAGAAGGATGCAAAAAATGAGTCTTCTGTTTGGCCTTCTTGATTTATGGAGAAGAGTTGCTTTCATTAGAAACAAAAGGGAGTTAACATTTTAGTTTCATGGCAATCTGAAAGAAAGAAATCCAAAATTACCAAAATATTGATACTGAAATATTACTTGTGGTATAATGCAAGAATATCCACTGATTGAAACTATTACTTGAACCAACCAGCTTTTACAAGGTGATCTAACATTCATTACAACTGATTATTTAAACTTTTCACTTTACTTTGAAAAAAAAGAGACCTTACAGTAGATGTTCTATTTAAATGTAAAACTGGATTTGTAACACATTTGGATTAACTATTACTGTTTCTTTCTAGAATCTAAACACCATAAATCTATCATCATCCAAACAAGAATTCTATTTAAGATATTAGCAATGGTAACATTAGGAAAGGAAGTATAGATTATACATATGTTGCAATGTGCTTACCATTTTCCAGATGTCATTCAGATGTTTATATTTGAGCATTTCTTCTTCGCCTCCCAAAAGCTTTAGATCCCACATTGGTAGGTACAAAGTTGTTCTTGCCCACTCCTCCTGACCTGCTCAGGAAGTCTGCCAGACGATGGGTCACACAGGTTGCTGTGTTACATGCCCTTTTCTGTGCTGTTACACTGCTTTTCAAAATAAAAAACATATATTTTACATAGAGAGACTGTAAAAAATACTTTGCTTATATCAATAAGGTGTGGTTCTACCTGGAAAAGTATCTCTATAAAAATGGGATTGTGAAGTTCCATATTTATTGTGTTTCAAGGATTTACATATTGTTCACTCAGTTTATGAGTTTAAAAAATATTTTTCTTTTTCTAGCTAGCAGGTGCTACAGACTCAGCTCAGGTTGTGAAAGTCAGACTGGGCTCCTTCTTTCTTGCACATAATCACCAATAGTTAAGGTTGTCTAGACAAAATTATCCCCTCAATAACACTTGATCAACTCCATTCCCACCAGCAAATAATTGAAATTTAACAGACAACTGTTGATAATGCATAAGGAGTAAAAGAATCTAGCTAAGCCTCAGCTGAGTTGGTTCTGTAGTGCTGATGGAGTATAGTAGCAAAAAAACCTATTTTAGGTACTCAGATCAGCAGCTATGTCAGAACACACAAAAGGACTGAAGTCCTGGCCCCATTGAAGTCAATGGACATTTTGTCATTGACTTCAATTGGGCAAGGATTTCATCCAGGAACTAAATCTAGAGTAAGAAGTTGCCAGGGATTTTTTAATAATTTTTCAGTGTTGAACTGCACATAGTCATTTTCCTTCTTCCGTATATCTGATTGCACTATTTAAACAGCTTTCTTCTTTATTTAAGCCTTCACTGAGCAAAGCATTAAGCATTTTAGTAATCCTACTGATTTCAATGGGAATACTCACTTGCTTAGAATTAAGCATATGCTTATGTGTATTGCTGGACTGGGGCCTTAGAGTACATATTTCTATAGTCTTTGTTCAAGCCAATCTCCTACTGAAATCTATGGGAATGTTGCTTGAGTTAGGACTATAGACAGGCCCAGAGACAGTACCATAGAAAACATCCCTGGTAACATGACAATTGTTTTCTGAACAGTTCCCATATTATGAAATATATGTAGTACAGAGGAAAAAAAAGTTAAAGAGGTACAAAAGTAGCACTAAATCTGTTGTATTAAAGTAAAAGAATTAACAGAAAACAAGATTTTAAATGAATTACCCAGATATGAAAGCTCCCCTTTTTCATTCTTTTAATATACAAGTCTACCTCACAGGTTATTTCTAAAACTGATATACATGTAAAAAATCCAGTTAATCGTGGTAATACATCACTGTAAAGAAGCTTCATGTAAATAATTTTAAGGAAAATGAAAAAGGAATATTAAAGTTCTTACCTGGATGAGTTCAATGAGAACAGTTTTAAACCTGGATTACATTTCTAGTGTTTTCACACTAGTTAATACATGCATTTCTTGAAGCTTAGCCATTTCAAAAGTTTTTGAAATTGTTTTACTAGCTAAGATTGTGTGTGTGACTGATTATGTATGCACACATACATATAGAAAACATTAAAAGGGTCTAGGAGTTCTCCTAGTGTATATGAACATAGTCAAATTGTTCAGCTATTCTGGAATTAAATTATTATACAACTTTTGTATTGTTCTGCTCTTCTCCAGTTCTGAAAAGATTTGTAAAACTTTTCTAGAAATCTTGCATTCCAACACAATTAATTAAAACAACAGGCCCAATCCTCATAGAAAAATAGGTTTATTGAACAAGTGCATGAGCAGGCATGAAAGAAGAGTTTATCTGTACATGTAAAAGCTAGAAATGAAAAGCTTTGTTTAGATTTTTTTAAAATAAATGTCTAAGAAAATCAGTTGACGTCTCAAGGCAGTGCTGTTCATTCTTTTTTATTTTATTTGGTATATATTTTTTTCTAACTTGGTATGTGTGTTGTGTTCTTTATCGTCCTAACTTTAAGTCCATCTCAAACATTCTCTGTCGAAAACAGAACCAAAATAACATAGCAAAGTTAGCAATCAAGGTTAGATCCACATGCATCAAGTTAAAAAAAAAGGGAGAAGGGTGAAAATAAGCATGTTTAATTGTTTCCCAGGGATTCCCCATAGTTTGCATAGCGTTCATTTTCCAGGTCATTCAGCACATTCCTTTTCTTGCCAGGAGTTCCAGCCCCGACGTCAGTACGAGGGTAAGTTTGCAATTTGTGCAATTCTTGAGACAGTTTGCCCAGCACACAAGTACTCAGACTGGCGCAGCGTTTGGAAATAGGTCTATCCAGGCTGCAGGGGGAAAAAACATGCCAAAAAAGTAATATAAATCATGCACATCCATGCATTACATTCCTAGATAAATAAGTATAATTAGGAGACAAAAAGAAAAGGATAAAATCCCCTCACACTCATTTCATGCAAGAGGGGGCACACTTGAAATCAGAGGGAGAACAGAGTTTTATCATGAACAAAATTAATATTGTTTACTTGATCAAGCAAATAGATTAGATTTTGGGATGCTGGTAGTCAAAGGATAGGAGGTTTGTATTCCACTGTACTAGACATGCTGTTCAATCTCTCATTCATCAACATGCTTTGCAATAGAAACTCATTAAGGTTAATGCAAATGTACTTGCATGCCTTGGCCCTGAGGGAGAGGGTGGCGCTGCGTGCACTAATAGGATGCCCCGCTTCAGCCAATGGCCTTCCATGCCTCACGACAGCATCATGCACTATCGCGACAGAGAATCCAGGAGCGATCGAACAGCCCTTAATACTACCACCGGGAAAACGTACCTCTTGCTGCCATATTTTAATACAACCCCCTCCTTGAAGTTCAACTCACCCTCCAATGTTTTTTTTTTATTTGCTCTCGGTTGTAAAAAAAGATAAAAGCAGGTTAACTAGGTGGGAATCATCAACCTGATACTGACACGGGAAAACATCTATGCAGTACCATCCCTTCCAAAGTATTGTACAAGGTCATCCGCAGTCCCAAGGGAGAGGAAAATCTTAGCCTGCCCGAGTGTCTGCTGAGGTGGCTCTTGCTGGGAAATCAAATGGACACACAGAGTGGTCCTGCTTCCCCAGCATCTGTGCATATCCCCGGGGCTGTAGCCCTTACCTATTCCCTTCAGTCGCTTGTTCCAGGTCTTCCGCTGTCATCTGAACAAATTCTTTCACCAACGCATTTAATAACCGCCGAGCTTCGTAATCACTGAGTGTCACTCGATCCGTTATAGAGTCTAAGCCAGGTCTAGGTGGAGACAAGCGAGAAAGAATGAATACAAGGATAACTGCTGCAGAGACTCTTGCATGTGTGCCCTTAGGTGGATGAGTTCTTGTATACACTATTCCACATTGCTGAGCGTGTCTTTGTCACTAGTGTCCATATGTATACCGAACTCAAGACAAAGACTACTCATTCCCTCACACACTAGATAAGTAATCTATTGCATGTTAAAATATGAGCGTTACAAAAATGTAATATTGGAAGATCTAGGTTTTCTCTTCTACTATAATCCACTTCCTATCTGCAGCCACGAGGAAAACTAAATGTCTCCATTCTGTTCAGATGCAGTGCTCCGAAACTCATGAGTTTCCACAGCTCTCTGCTTCTTACCTGAGTGGGGTTGCCTGGGAGCTATCCATCTGGCACATAACCAAGGCATAAACAGCAAGGAAAGATGAAATCTTCAGCATAACCATAATGTCCTCTCTACAACAAAGAGTCACATCAAACAATGGCCATTTTCCAACCTCCTCAATCTTAACAGATCTACTAAAGATGCAGTCTTTCTCTAGGCACACTTGGTAATAGGTTGTTGTTGTTAATTTGCTTTGGTCTTTTGCTTTAGTTTTCTCAAATAATTTTCAGATTTTTGTATATGACCAAATTGTAATATTTTGAGTTTTTTCAGAGTTAGGATTACTATCAAGATGTAACTAAAATGGGATTTAAGTTAATGCAGATCTGTCTATAAACTGATGGGAAACGTGTCTCTTCCCCCCTGTGTTTGAAGCACTACACGTAATTTCATTTAATGTGTCGGATCTGAACTGGACAAAATGGCACTTCAGGTATAGTAAATCTTATGAAAAAGCATGAAAGCTAAAGCTATTGTTATTTTTAAAAGATGACCAGTACTTTTCTGTATTCTCATTTTTGCAGAATATTAATAAATGTTAATCCCTCTAATGTTTCATTTAAAAATTAAAAAGAATTATGTTTGCTTAGAAAACAGCACATTGTATTAAAGAGTGCTCAATTCCTGGTACAGTTTACATACTAATCTTCCAACTCAAATACAAATTAGATAAAACTATAAAAACAGGTCCATTAAATTGATTTTAATAAAAAATCCCAAAATTATGACCAAAGATAAATAAATCAGATGAACTCAAGTCAAGAGAGCAGAAAGATTTAAAAATATCATATCCTGAAGAACTCCTCTCTATGACTCACAGCTTTATTTAAATATTTTTAGATTAACTTCACCTTTTCACTCATAAATTAAAACACCTATTATTACCTGAAGCATATATTGCTAGCTAACATACAATGAAGGCTGTCACTTTTTAAACTTTTACCATTTCATAACAGATTTTGTGAAAAACCTCAAAATGATTACAAAAGAAATCAAGCTATGCAGCCCAATAATGTAAAGAGATTAGGGTTTTTTTTTCATACAAAATGTAATATACTACGCAGTATCGGTTGCTTTCAATTATTCTAAGGGGATTGTGTATTCCTTCTTTTATCTTGGTACTTTTTATTTTAATTTTATTTTATTTTATTTTGAAGAATCCAGTAACGTGTAATTTAGACCACCATACGAAATCTAGCTAATTACAGATTATGCGTTCTCTGAATGCACAGAGAAAAATCAAAATAGAGAAAGGCAACACAAGCTGTAATTTAGCATCAGTTAAAGACCTTCCTGGGTACACGTACATCTTCAAGCACAGCAAATTCTGCTGCACTGAAGTAAGCTCACCAAACTCTAGATTTAAGAAAAGAAAAAGAAAAAGAAAGAAAGAGCATGCTTACCTTGAAATGCAAAGCTTCTTAAGAAACAGTAAAACGTGGTGGAGGTTTCCTCAATATATGTTTCTAAATCGTGATGCTGTTCAATGCCTAAGTATCCCCCTTTTATATCTACCGCCAGGGTGAAAGTGTGTAGGCGTTTGACCGGCACTGGCCAGCCAATCACAAGGTCTGTTGGTAAAATGTAGCCAATCCACAACCGGACACGAAACCCACTGGTCTCCAATTACGTCATCTTCCAGTCACTGAGTATTCCATTCACAAAATTTGCTAGTCAGTTGGCTACATCTGATAGGTTTATTTGCCCTGAGGTCACTGAACGAAAAAAAGACGGATCACATCAGACGATTAATGGCAAGTAAGGGAAATCGTCTCGAGTCATTAATAATGTACAGTCCACCCCCTTACCCCCACAAAAAGTACCATATCTTTTTAATGAAAAATTCAAAGGATAGGTTATTTACTTATTAGAAGCGACATCTACTGCAAAAAATACCGCATTGCAGACAGAAAAAAGGACCTTGGCAACGGCGGGTTATCATTATTTTTTTAGTATGCAAATGCGTGGCTATAGTAATGTAATTGCATATATGGGAAACTGTATTTAGTATTTATTACAAATATTTTCTAATAGTACAGTTTTTTGTTTCGTAACACATTAAAACACGAGTGCAGAAGTTATTTCACTTATGTTACTAAATACGTTTAATTATATCACGTTAAGAGTATAGTATCTGGAGCAAATAAATCCGTTATGCGCCGCATATTAGAAAAGTTTTTCCTTTGGTACCTTGAAGCCCGATCCTGCAAACCTTTACTCATGTGGGTAGTTCCCCTGACTTCAACGGGACTAAATTTTCAGGTTCCTGCCTGGGGATTGCCATGTTACGCATTTTCCCATAGTTCCCAGTATTTAGTGTGGATTTGCATTTGGCCAAGTGTATGTGGTAAATCGGGAGAAACGGGGAATTTAAAATAACTAAAAATTAAAACCAAAACATTCATGGAAAGTCCCAAAGCCCATTGAAATTAATGTGAATCTTCACTCCGATTTCAATGTGCTTTAGATCAGGCCTTTTGTCTATAATGAATGAAAATGACTCCCCTTCCTCTGTCAACCAAGAAGAACAATTTCCATTTTCCCTCTCTTCTACAAGTATCGACCATGCTGAAGTCTTTCCACATAGCATATCTCGCATTCTTATTGTTAATGTAAACTAAATTCCGAGTTAAAGCTCAAGCAGCTTGCAAAATAAGTTTTTCTCTCTGGCTATTATATTCACTTTTCATAGGTTTTGAGAACAAGAATAACAGTAGTCTCTTGGGTCATTTGAAGATTAGCGCAACCTAGTGTGGTAGGCAGTTGTGTGTATTGTGGAAAGCAGGTCTGAAGAGAGTTGGTTAAGACTGAAGGGATAGGAGTCTACTTTCCTTCCTTACAGGGACTTCTATTCAGAGTTAATACTTAAATTGTGACCATTTACTCTTCTCTGTTTCTCCTTTGAACAGGACTGATTTAAACTGGTCTTCGGTATGCATTTATTGGAGGACAGATTTTACATTCACTGAATCGAACGCAATTATTGTTCACAGTATGAATTTGAATTCCCCTACAGGAAAAAAATAAAAATAATTGCACTGTCTTCTGTGACACACAGTTAAGACTCGTAGTTTATTTAATATAAACACAGGGGAAATTGCATACTGAACTACTATGTTACCAACGGTAGCACCTGAGATTGAGAAGTAATGTAAGAACCCATCTGTATTCCGCAGCAAATTGTCCGCAGAAAGTGTACAGTGGGACTGGCCCGACCATCGTCTCTCAGAGGGGAGGATTGCTAGCAGATGTTTAGCCGGCGTGATTCAATCATTTCGTGCTACGAGCCCTGTCTTTATTGATTGCCATAAATACCATTATATTGGCAGCTTCCTTTTTGCAGGCTGCTTGGAGCAGCTGGAAGTGTTTGGAGTGTGTCTCGCATCCGCGGCTTCCCCCCCCCTTCCTAGTCCAGAGTTGAAGTGGCCACGTTCCGGCAGCTACACAGCTGCTTCCCTTTCCTGGGCACTTAGAGCTGCAAGAGCTACATCCGCAGTGGAGAAGCCTCTGCCCGAGCCAACCCGGCTCAGGCTATAGGGTCAAATGAATCACTCTTAAAGGGTCTCTTAGTCATTGTCTAGAGGCGTTGTAGACGTGTCTCGAGTTTGTACACCTGCTCCATTACAGGATGGTTGGATTTACTGTATGTTTGTAAAGCTGTTTTGCACACACACATTGACACAAACACATCCAAAGGAAAAGACCGGACAGCAAGTAGTTTTTCTTGTGGAAAATATCAATAAGGTGTGTACTTTCTCGGTGGGTCTTTTCTTCGTGTCAGAAAAGCTCTTTATAAAGGGCAGTAATAGGTTCTGCCAACAACAACAAATGGGAATAAACCACTTTCTGTTTGCATCATCATAATAAACATTGTATTTTCTTCTCATTTGAGTTAAGTTTCCATTGTGCTATTGAGAATATTCCTGGTGGTAAGTATTATGCTTTTCTTTTACTCTGCTTTCCAAAGTGGGCGCGTGAGTATCCATCCAAGTACCGGATTTCAAATACATTCTGTTAATAACATTGAGTCATAGGAGAGGGAATCGAGTTACTCCTTAACAAGAAACAGAGCATACCAATCTGTAGCTCGTCGCGGACCCGGGGTTCAAGCGTAAACCCTAATGTTATGCAAGCAAATTGTTCCCCTCTTGTTCATCTGCTGAAGGGGAGCCTTTGCACAAACCGTGAGGTCCATTTGGCTGCCTTTCTGGCTGTGTGCGTTTGGCAGGGATCCGGGAGTTGGTTCCTGTGTAACGGTGATACGGGGAGTCTGGAGGGAGAGCCAGAAGGGTGGTTACCGAGAAATCCCGCTCTGGGAGCGCTGAGGAGGGAGAAAAGAATTGCATCAGGCTGATTGCTTCTCAGTGCTTTAATGCAGAAAAAGCCTTTTTATTGCACCCCGGAGACTTACACTGAAAACCTTTTCAGCCTTTCATAAGCATTTAAATTTGTTTGTAGAGATGATACTCTGTAGACATATAATATGAACTGATCACCCATGGACATAATTACTAAGGTAGAAGCCAAAATATTTCTCTCCTAACCCAGACAGCTTTGGACCCCGCGAAATTCCGAAGGCGACCCCCTGCCTCTGACATCAAGTAGATGGATGGGGAAAATCTACAGAAGGGTTGCTGCGTCCTACTTTTACACAAAGCCATCATACCATGTGACCACAAGATTAAAGCTTTCAAGAATGATCTGAAAAACTGAAAGAGACTATTCCTGCACGGAAATATTATCCAATACATATTCGATATATACACCCATCTATAATCATGATTTCTCCATTTACTTAAATGAATCATATATAGATATACCAATTCCTTTTTCATTGTTTCTCATTGTTGGAAACTACCCTCTACATGTGCTTGAACATCAAATGTGTGACGTTTTTATTTTAGGTTTAGTTGATATTTGATAATGAAACTTTACATTAACACTCTACTACGACCTTCCATTTCTGAAAAACTAGTGAAATTACATAATCATTTTACAGAATATGGCTAACAACACTTTAAAATGGGTAATTCTGCTCCCAAATCCCCATTTAAGAGATTAAAATCGTATTTCATGAGGGGAGCAGCTGCGCGGAGCACTTTTAAAAATCGGCCATTCATTTAGCCTCCTAAATTTGGATTTAGGAGCCTAACTTTCTATAATCTGACCTATACATAAAATATAATTACAGGGATAGCTCCTGTTGTAGTAAAAATATTTAGGTCCCGATTGATAGCGTTTGAAGCAACAAGATGAATGCAAAATATGTGCTGTTTTTGTTAATGTTATTTTTAATTCTAAAGCATAAAGATACTTGATCATAGTGAAATCACGTTTCAAGACGCGCACAATTCACTGGCCACCTAAAAAAGGCATTGCTGATTTTTTTTTTCTGTCATCATTTTTGGTTTTCCATTACCAAACTTCCCCCGTTCACTTTAGTAATAATGGTTGCGTAATACACCCATTTATAAGCCGCACACTTTGGATGATTGTAAACCAGCCTCAGGTTTCCTCAGATGACCAGGAATTCATGTCTTTCTAAACTCTCCAAAATTTTCCCTGGGTTCAGAATTTAATGACAGTTACAGGTCCAGAGGGGGCTTCGATGTTTTATTTTATTTTCAGGCTTCCGACTTCAACTGCAGTACGCAGTAAATGGCTTTATATAAGTGCACAACTATCCTGTAGATGTTATTAACTGTAAATTACCTTGGGTTTATAGTTTCCCCGAGATTTCTCCGTATTTACATATAGAATTTCGACTTTTCAGTTTTTGATGAAAGTGTCCAAATATATTTAAGTTTTATTCCTCTCGCTTACACGAGGTATATTAACATTTTACCACGCCACTACTTGCAATCTACATGCGCACCGAATTAATTTCATGTACGAAAACTAATCTAAAAGAATTGTCATAATTTCACGGGATACAGAAATTAGTGGACTGCTGACTACCACTAGGACTATTTCAAAGCTTTGCTAAGGATTTTCAGGGCTGCCACAGGGGTGAAATTCTTGTGTTTTTTTACAAGAAGGTTCACCATCCTCTCGGGAATTGTTGACCGTGCGTTTATATGGATTTCATCTACAGAAAAACAGAACAATTTATTTGCAATTGATATAATGTTCTAAAAGAAAATGTAGGACACTACCCAAACTCATCTGAATTTGTGCCAACACGAAAGCCAAGATCACTTTGCTAAAAGCCATAACGAATTTAAAGATCAATCTGCAGAAATGAGAGTATCTTAACCTGAAATGCAAAAATGTGACTTGCATTTCACTGGAATCCCTTGGGAACAGTTTTTGAAGTTTTTATTTATTTATTATTATTATGCTTTTTCCTTCTAACAGATTAAGGAAGTTTGATTTTAAATAACCCATTCAGAATGCTTATTTTCACCAAGGCAATTTCTAATACTCTATTGGAAGACTGAATTAATGTGTTTTGCCTCTTTGGTATC